TAACTTATTTAATTTAGTACTTATGAAATAATTGACTTCATCATTTCTTTTCGTCTCTCCTCCGAATCAAAACTCAAAACACTGAGCAAGTTCTTCCTTGCCTACATTTTTTTTTTATTAACTTTTGTATGATAAATTAATGGTATATTAATTTTATCATTTAATTTTTAATCAATTTATCCTTTTTTTTCTAATTTACTTGTTATTTTTTTTAATTAGATTGGACTTATATATTAATTTTAATATTGTTACTTATTATTATATGGTAATTCTTTCAAACTAGAGTATAAGGCACTAGTAACTAATTCATAGTTCTCAAAAAATGTTAATTGAAAACCTTAATTTTTTGAAAAAATTTATATATATATTTCTAAGTCTACCCTCATTAGATACTCTACATAAGTGCTTTTGATAATAAAATTAAATTTCAATACATTATTTTTTCAAAAGAAGAAATAAATGAAATACAGATATAGTTGGAAAAGCAATTATAAAAGTTACCCATGCCCTATATTTTGAATCGAATAGGATTTTAGAAGATGTTTATATTATAGTCCGGAGGGAGTAGTGGTAAGTCCTCTTAATTATTATATATATTCTATAGTTGATAAATTTTGGTTATGTATATGTAGGCTTTTTTTTTGGGATAAAATATGTACATGTAGGCTTTAATAGTCTGAAATTGTATCTGAGACCTTCAAAGCTAATATATAAGCATATTTAAAAGGCTTACTTTTTAATAAGCTTTTAAATAAATTTTCAGGTCAATCCAAACTTTAAGTAAGCTTAGGCTTGAGTCATTAAAAGAAAAAAGTTTCATACAAGCTTTAGGACAAGTTCAAGGTTCTAACTTACTATTTGACCAATACCTAACTTAACTTAGCCTATTTGCACTCTCGTATTCAACTCTAAGTTTTGCTCTGCCCTTGCCTTAATTTGATTATATAATTATAGAAATGAAATTTCAAGAAAGTCAAAAAGTTTTAAACAAACAAATATTAATAATTTTTTAATTTCATTTTATCACATTGGAAGATTTTACAAGCTACCTACAATATTAATTTCTTAGTTCCTAATGTTATTTGACTCAATTATGTTATATTATTTAATTTTCTTGCATCAATTTGTACTGAATTAACTAATAAGCCAAAAATACCACTAAACTAAAAAAGTTAATATACGCTCTTATTAGTTGGGAATGAATATAATTTTTATTTATTTATTACTATTTTAATTAAAATATAGGGCTAATGGGTTGTGTGTACGCCGTGTATGAGACCCTAATATCTTTTTTCATATAATATTTTCCTTCAATATTTAAATAATGTAACATTATTCATGTTTAACAAATATTAACTTTATATCATTAATTAATAAAAATTATAAAATTGATTACAAGATTATGCATACTAATAAACGCAATAATGACACTTTATTATTAACTTTTTCCAAAACAAAATTATAAATTTCAAATATATCTTTACACACTTAATCATCATGTTACCATATCATTTCAATTTTTCTTCACTTAAAAGATAATATTAAAAATATTATTAATAAAATTTATTTTTAATTGACTTTGTATTTTAAAAATTTAAAATTATTTTATAATTTGGGATAGAAACAGTATTTTATTTATATATAAAAATATATCTTTTTTTGATCCCTGCACTTACTCGTATTTTATTATATGTCCTTGACCTTTTTTTTTGTATTTTAGCTCTCTATATTTTCATTTTTTGATGTTTTACATTCATTCAATCCCTATATTTTGTTCCTTTTGTTCATTTAAGGATTTAGAATACCGATAAATGAAAATGTAGAGACCTAAAATATTAAAAAAATAAACCTTATATAAAATATAAATAAAATACAGGAACTAAAAAATATATTTTTCCTTTTATATATGTTCGGCGTTCGGGGCGCGAGGGCGTGCTATTTTTTTAATTATTATTTCAGTTTGATAATCATCTAACTGGTTGAAGTATAAGCGGTCAGTCCGGGTTTGGATTTTTAAAACATTTGCAGTTATCATGATTGGAAGATAAACATACAAAACTAAACACAACGAAGCCCGTGAACCACGTTTGCCGCCTCAATGTGTAATATATTAATACTAATTTTTTTAGTTTCCGATGTTCTTTTCTTAATGCAAGGTAACTGAAAATGAGTCATTAGCTCAAGTCAGAATAAATAATGCTTTTACACTCTAAGTGTTGATCAACAAAATAATAGTATTTAATTATTTTTTAGGTTCTCAACAAGCAACCCAATTAACGCACTTATTTATTTATTTAAAAACATGCTTAAAAGTTACAATTTTAATATCTCATAGCAAAGTCCCCTATTCTTTTAATAGTACTGGGGAGAAGATGATTCTAATTGCAATCATATTAAATGAGGCGTGAGAGTTTCATTGAATTAAAGTCTGCATTAACTTTAATGAAATTTTAATTTCAAGAAAAGCTAAATCTTTCCGGAATACCCACAAATTCTGCTGTGCACTGCTGGGGTATTAGTTTCCAATGTTATTTGACTCTATCAACTGCTGCTAGCACCATGTATGCTTTTTGAGTCGGATTCATCAATTTCGGGCCTCTAATGTCAATTGTCCTTTTTTTTTTGGGCCTGATAATATCCATTTCAATATTAATGAAATTACAGACTTATCCGTCTCTTTTAAAGATTCCTCGGTAATAAACCGAATATCCTTGTTAATTCAAAAAGGTAACAATAGTAATTGTCAAAATCGAATTGTTCAACTTAAAAATGGAGATAACTATATGTGATAGACAGTGAATCAAAGAAAAATGTAAAAATATAATCATCTATACTTATAGTTTTATTAAGTTGTACTTTTAGTCCTTCTAGTTTTTTTTTAATATTTTTAATCTCTATAGTTTTAAAAAGATTGAGTGATATTTACTTTTCATGTCTTTATAGCTTCAGTTTTTTAAATGTTTTTGGTCCCTGTGAGAATTAGAAGTAAAATTCAATGCAACTATAGGATCAATAATTATGTTTTTTTTTTTTCAAATGTAAGTAGAACTACCAGTGTAAGTGGGCTTGGGCTATTGGGGTTCAAAACTGGGTTTGTGAATTAAGGCCCTTTAACAATCCCCCCCCCCAAAAAAAAACCCAACAAATCCATTAATTCGGCGAGACATCTGTCAGGTGAGCGGAGTGGGACCCACAAGTTATGCCAGGTGTTGAGCAATTTCCAATGATAGAAAGTGAGAATGGAAATTGATAACCTTGTTCATGTCGCTTGGATATGGGGATCAAATGTATATATAAACGTGAGCAAAATGGACCATTTGAGCCTCATGTAAACAGTTGATTTAGGAGGCGTTGAGTTCATGGCTTAATACTAACGGACTTCAATCTTGTTGAGAATGTTGATCTGATTTAGACATCCCCATAACAGCCTAGCACCTTGGTGTCCGATAACTTCGCTCGTTTTTAGCCTTCTTAATTGGACAAGGTCAGTTACATGCACAACGAAAACTGTTTATCGGTCTTAAAATTTACTTCAATTATTAGTAGATGAAAGTCTAATGTTTATACACAATCTTTGTAGTCAAATCAGGGAGCATTTACTATCTATTTGGATTTCACTTGAATAAAATTCATTTCCAAAAAATTAATTAATATGATTAACTTTGATTATAATTAATTATGTCATAACATGATCATGCTTGGATGTTATTTTCTTAAAACTAATTATGATAGAATTGAAAATATTTGAATATTTTAGTAAAATAATTTTAAATGTATCAATTACAATAAAGAACATCGGTTTTAACATATATATTGTCTGATTACTAATACAAATTTAAATTATGTTATCTTTTAATATAATTTATATTAATATTGATATTATACTATGTCACACCGGATTACTAGAAAGCAAAAAGGAAAACCGAATCAAACCGGAAGGCTGAAAGAAAACGCAAAAGAAACGGTAGGAGGAGAGGATGTCGCACCAAAAGGCTGAAAGAAAACGCAGGGAAGAAACGGTAGGAGGAGAGGATGTCGCACCATATGAACTTAGACGGAGAAAATAGCAGAGAACGACCTTCAAGGAGAGAGACGGAGGAGATGCACCGATGAACTCAAACAATGGTTGCAGATAAGAGATGGAGGATGGAAGTCATAGATCGAAGCAGGAGATGAGGTTGCAGCAAAGAAGAGACAAAGATCGCGTTAGAGAGTTTTCACCTTTTTACGAGGATAAAGAGAAGTGATGGAGGTATTTAGGGTCTTATTTGGCAGATTAAAAATTCCAGCAGGCAATAATTGCCCCAACATATATAATTGATCATTGGAAGCTACTCTTTTGAGCTTGACGCAAAATGTGGTTCTGGTCAAAATAATCAATTGTGTGAAAAATGAGGTGTTTGCGTAATTTTTAGTAAAACCATGGTTTTGGTACACTTAATTTTGAAACCATATCCAAACAGTCACTTAGTGTTCGTTCTCCAGTGGTAAGCCAAAAAGGATTTGCTTTTGCGCTCAAAGGACAATGTTTAATTAAGTAGTAAAAGCTTGGCTTGCGTATTTCTCTCTCTCTCTCTCTCTCTCTCTCTCTCTGGATTATTCAATGGCAAAATATCTCCAAGTATTTTTTTAATAATATTGACATTCAATGTTTTATACCATCCAACGCATTGGCCAGTATGAAAGATAACATTCTAGAGGCTTGGGAAGATCTTGCTCTTCTGGATTTATAATGTCGTGAACTTTGTTAAAATATTCATAATTTAATACCAATCATATCATCTTCATGTCAACTTTTAATTTTCATTCTAAACAAGAGAAAGTTAAATGCCCAACAAAGAAGATCTCGCTCTCAAAGTCTACCTCATCTGTTACCTTGAAACCAATTGTATCTGCAATCAGTTACAGTCAAGGGCACCTCTATAACTATTCTCTCTGACTAAGCTGAAAAGATATATATATATATATATATATATATATATTTGACAAAAGTGGTCCATGCTCAATGATTTTGCATAATTATAAAAAGTGATTTAGTCGTTGATAATCTTGCATCATGATTGTAGGGACTTTGATTCACCAAAAGTCCTTGCAAGAACAAGAACCGTTTGCGAAATGATGGAACCTATTAGTATCTCTCAATACAATCATCCTCGCAGTAACTCTTGAAACAGCTTTCATCCATGAATGACAATCCCTACAAACCCTAAGATTCTTTGTAATCCTGATATTCCATCAGCAGTATGAATAAGCGCGAATATTGCTGCTATGCGTTCTTATGCCCACAAACCCATGTCACCTTCATCTCTTCATTCACATCATGAAGAACATCACCAGTGTCAGGGATATACCCTGCTTCTTTGATAGCGTCAAACAACTCACTCCAGGTTTCCGAATACTCAGCCGAAGAACGAAATTCTGAGCTCCCCCCGGCGATGAAGGTGTGAATTCAATGCTTTATTTGTGTCCAGCTACATCCAGCCACTTTCTTGATTCCTCTCATGGCCATCATCTCTCTAACTGTCTTCACACCATGCCACATTTCTGCTTTTGCATAGATGTTTGAGAGCATCACATAGTTGCCAGGATTGTGAGGTTCGATTTCGAACAGTTTCCCGGCAACAACCTCTGCAAGAGGAACATTACCGTGAAGACGGCATGAGTTAAGTAAGGATCCCCATATGCTTCCACTTGGATTCATTGGCATGTTTTGCACCAAAGCTAATGCTTCTTCAATTCTTCCTGCCCTGCCTAATATGTCTACAAAACAAGCATAGTGCTCTAAAGATGGTTTCACCCCATAATCCTCCATCTTATTGAACAATTCTTGCCCTTTATCAGCAAGTCCTGAATAGCTACAACCTGAAAGCAACGCAATGAAGGTAATACCATCTGGCCACATGCCATAACTTACCAATTCATCAAATAAGGCCATGGCTTCTTCAATATATCCATTTATTGCATAACCTGTCAGCATTGTATTCCATGTAGTCAAATCCCTACTCTGCATTCTGTAAAACACTTTCTTACAGTAATCAAGGGCTCCACATTTGGCATACATATCCATTAGTGAGTTGAGTAATGGCAGATCACCTTTCTTCCTAGACTTCAAAATCTGGGCATGCATCTCCTTGCCACTATGAAGTGCAGTAACTCGAGCACACATTGACAAGATCATCGTCATAGTAACCCAACTGAACTTGATACCCTTTCCTTGCATTACTCTAAAAGCATCAAATGTCTCAGGCACTTTGTCTTGAGCTGCAACACCAGCGACCAAAGTGTTCCAAGAAACCACATTTCGTTGAGGCATTCCCTCAAACACCTTTAGGCCATCACCCAAGAACCCACACACAACATAAAACCTCAGGAGTGCATTATTCACCACTTGATCTTCTTCTTCATCACTCTTAATGACTTGAGCATGAACTGCTCTACCCAACAACGAATCAGACTTATCTGCACAGGCCTTAAGAGCCATGGAAAGCGCGAAATTGTTAGGTCGGGCATACTGAGTTGATAACATTTCACAATATAACATCAAAGCTTCATTAGAAAACCCATTTCTGGAATACCCAATCGCCATAGCCACCCACACTGACTCTGGCATCTTTTCATCTTCAAGACCGTGGTTGAAAATCTGGCGAGCCTCATCAATCCGACCACAAACAGAGAAGAGAGTGATGAGCTTGCTTTTCAAAATGGGGTTACGCAAAAAGTCTGGCTTGAATCTGGCCGGTGATTGAAGGAAGTGAAAGTAGAGCTTTTGCCCATGTGAGAAGGACCTTCTGGAGATGCAGGCATGAAGAAGGGAGGAAAGTGCGTCGACATCGTCTGGTTCGTAAGCCGTGGACTTCGACGGCGAGGACTCGATCGGGCTAAGCGCCTCATCTAAATTGCCAGACTTGGAGAGAAATCTGAGAGTGGAATTGAAGTTGAGGGGCGTTGAAAGTTTGCGAGACGGGGGGTTTAAGATTACCGTTATGTTAGTTTTGACAGTTATGGTCGTTGAGAGAGAAATGGCCGGTAGCATCTTCTCCGTCAGTTATCAAGTTTCAGTTTCCATCACACTCCTGGGCTTTGAAGGCTTGAAGATGAGGGGGCTTCAAATTAAGCCCATTTTTCGGGTTATAAAAGCAGAATATTTATTTTATTTTCACAATGCATAATATTTATATTTAATAATTAATATTGTTCACTTTTATATTTTTTAAAGTAAGGTTGGAATATGATGTTCCATTCTCAAGGTCGAGTTTTCCATTATATTTTCCAGCAAAATTTATTTAAATAAATTTTAATGTTATATTATTAAGCATTTAACATGCCACTTGCAAGGGAAATCATTTCACATGGTCAACTTGGAATCGTAGATCTATCACTAACTTGCCACTTTAGGTCGTCCAGAATCAGAGATAAAACTTTGAGCACGTCCTAGCAGAAATTTGCTTTTGATTTACAATTGCCTTTCAGAATAACATCCAAGTATTTGATCTTTAAGTTTGGTTTGGATGGAGGGAAAAGTAAAAAAAAATGAGAAAGAGAAAAAATTAACCGGAAATTTTTTTAAAAATAGTAATTTTTTTTACTATTTTTAAAGGTCCCTCCCTAACTTTCTTTCCTTCTTATTTTTTTCTTAGTGTTCTTCCGATCAATTAGTTCTCATTCGTAGAATGGTAGGGACGATTCTCCATGCTTGTTAATTTGCAAAAAGCAGCCTTGTTCATATAATGAAAAGGTCTAACCCCCAATCCTACTTGTTCAGTACTACAGCAGATTTTCCCTAAGGAAGCTGATGCATCCTGTTATTTCCATGTCAAATATGCCTCAGAAAGAATGGGCTCAAACAGAATCAAGCCTTGACACCAATTTCCTTGGAAGCATAAAACAAGAGAGCTTATATAGATATATATATATATATATATATATTTGATGAAGCTATCACTGATTAAATTAAAGTTAATATTGCTGCTTGATAGATAACAAAGATGATTTCCATCCATATAGCCTTTTCTCAATCTTTTGCAGGATATATATCATCAAAAATCAATGTCTTATCCATGCAAGAATCAATCAAAATACTACCTAAGAGACTTGAGGGACTAGGTTTTATTTTCATTGATAATCATCTGATAGATAGTCTTATTCCTCTTTTAGTATTGAATTGTACCAATAGCTTGCCATTCATAAGAAGTTGATAGGAGACTGGTGAAACACATTGCGTGTTCATTGAAACCTAAATAGGTGGAAAATTCATATCATTACACAAGACTTATTGAAGAAAAGACACGACATTTTGTCAAAAACCTTGGAAAAATTGATCTTCAGAGCACCCCAACTTACTTTCATTTATTCCTCTTAATAGCATGCAACTGTAATGTCAGATCTCAGATGCTACTTGTATATTGTCATAAATGAGTGAGTGTACCTTAGATGAAAGCACTTTGAAAAAGATTTATCCGACGAAAATCCTTAAAAAGTCTTTGTAACTTCACAATTTTGGAACAAGATATATATCAACTTATTGAGACTTTTAAGCAAAAAGCCTCTTTCTCTGAAGGTGAAGACATATATTACAGATGTCATAACCAACAATGCCCCGAGAATGTTGAAAAACCTGACATGAAAACCATCAATATCTAACGCATTGTCATGTAGCATCTCAAAAGTAGGTTTTTCCCCCTCATCTATAGTGAACTCAGTCAACTAAAAAATTAACATGATCTTGTTTGAGCTTCGATAAATTCAGACCAAGTACAAAGTCTGAGATTTCCTCCAATGAAAGCAATTGGCTGAGAATCGAAAATGTCAGTTGTGAAATGACTGGAAGCTAATCAGAAGTCCAATTATTGTCCTCATCTTTGATCCTGCAAATTCTGAAGATCCTCTCTTCATCTGACAGCCCAAAAAAAAAAAAAAATTGTATTTCCATCTTCTTGCAGAAGAAAAAGTTGTCTTGGTCTTTGAAACCAGGCACATAGCTTCTACACAATCATAACAGAATCCCAACATGTGTTTTGTATCGTTCTACTTTACTAAATCCATCTCAGCCTGTTCTTTGTCTAACTATGATTCTCCACTTGTTGAATTCTCCACGAAAGATTACCAATTCTATTTATTTTGTTTCCAGCTTTGAACATTCTTCATTAATTGTATAGAAGAGAGCTTGGACTGTAACAGGAAGCCATGCGACCCCACTATATTTAAACTTCGCCAAAAAATTCAAATCTAGCATAGCTTCTTCCATTCCTTTTTTTATCAAAAGAATAATTATATAAAAAAAAGGTGGAGCATGATGAGAAGCAGCTATTGGAAAAACAACATGTGACTCCATTTCTTTTGCTAGTCCAGGTGAACCATTGTCCGAACCTCCGTCATTTTAAAATCATTAATCATATTAATGAACAAATTAGCTCCTCTGATTCCTGAATGTCTACCGGATTTTTGCCAACAAAAGAGCATATTGATTAAAATCATTTCATTCCTGTGGGACTTCCCCATAATATTATAGAATTTAAATACGTGCAGAAAAGTCTCATTCATTTATGGATATTTACTTAATATCCACTATTTATAACAAAATTTGAGTTTTTTTTTATTTGCAGTTTTTTTAGATATTTTGAAACATGAAAAAAATTAATAATAAAAATTTATCTTTTTAAGTGTCAATGCCTTTTATAATTCAATTAAATTGAATGGGTAACATTATGAATAATGATAAATTCATGCTTATACAGAGAAAAGATAATAAATTACATAATGTTTAAATATAAGTAATATTTTAGTTACTTTTAGAAATTCTCAGAAGAAAATCAAGAATAGCTCACTCCTTATAGCTAAGGGTGATCAAAACCGAACAAAATTGACCACATCAAACCAATTCAAACAAATCCAATAAAAATTGAATAAAACCAATCATTATTTAAGCTTGGATTGATTTTATAAATTTGAAAATCAAATGGTTTCATTTATGTTTTGGTTTTTCTCTTTGAAACCTTAACTAAACAACCATACCAAATGCATTAGTCTAATATTTTTTTATGATTGATATTAGACTATTAGTGTTTATTTTTTTAATTTTAATTTCAAATAGAGCCCACTCCCAATCTAAAATATTTTAGGAAAAATGACATCTAGGCCCCTCCTAAGAAAATTAATCACAGATAAAGACCAATGTAGAACGAATTGTTATTAAAATGAGAACCTGACTTTTTTTTTTTAATGAGACTTATTTTTTATCTTTATTTGTGATTAATTTTCTTGAAAGAGAGCTAAATGTGATTCTCCCAATATTTTAATAGAATTTATAAACCTTCATTTCTCAATTTTACTACTATAGAGTTGAATGCATACACTCATGTGTTACGTCAAAATGATTTTTTTGAATAATTTTAGATATAGAATTTCATTTTTTGATTTTTTAAACAATTACTTTTCATTATAGATATCAAAATAATTTGTAAATAAATTTAATTATTACTTACAAAAACATATATTCCAGTGTTTTTTTAATAATGAAATTTGAATATTTTTATTTTGGACATGATGTTCATTTTTATTTATGAATAATAAAACCAAGAATATGACTTGAAGTTGAAATATGAAAGAGAAAAAAAGTAAAAAAGAATATGCTTAGCCTTAATAAATGATTTTATATATTTAAAAGTATCAAAACTTAATCCATGTATAAATCAAATTGATCAAGAGTTTTTTTTTTTTAATGCAAACCAATTGGTTTGATTTGGTTTATACTTTGATCAAAATTGAGTCAAACCATACATTTGATCACCTTTACTTATAACCATACATGAGCTTATATTTTGAATAATTAATTGTTGGCCAAAAAATTGCATAATTAGTTATATGTTTTTAATAGTTGAACATATTTTAATAATTATATAATATTTATAATCAATAATTTCATGCACTTTGCAATTGCACTTGGCCCAAAACTATTATAAATTCTATAAATTAAATTATATGAACAATTTGAATAGATTATTATAACATGTAATAACATCTCCTGCATGGTATCCTAGTTTCTAAAAGAAAAACATAACGACAGTTCTCATCAATTATTGTATCCAATGTTTGATTTTCTACGCAAGATTCCTTACGTGTCGTTTATAAACGTTCTGAACACACACCTATACACATATATATAATATGGATTGAACTTCAGGTCAAACAACGTCCCTTCTTTCTCTCTCCAATCTCATCTTCTTCGTCACAGTCTGCTGTGTTTCAAGGATCCCATGTCTTGGGCTTCCTTTCTCAGCACATACTTCTGAATCTTTCCGGTCGACGTCTTGGGAAGATCCTCCTTGAACACCACCGTCTTCGGCACCATGAAGTGCGGCATCCTCTCTCTGCAATACTCTATTATTTCCTTCTCCGTCGGCTTCTTCTCCAATCCCTCCTTCAAGCTCACGAAGGCGCATGGCGTCTCTCCCCAGAACTCGTCCGGCCTTGCCACCACCGCCACCTCGTCCACCGCCGGGTTACTGTGCAGCACCGACTCTACCTCCATGCTGCTCAGATTCACACCCCCACTTATGATCACGTCCTTGGATCGATCTTTAATCTCTAAGTACCCATCTGGATGCATCACCCCCACGTCCCCTGTGTAGAACCACCCATTCTTGAAGCACTTGGAGTTCATTTCTGGATCTTTCAAGTAGCCTAATGTGAGGCAACCTCCCCGAAGAACCACTTCTCCGAGGGTTGACCCGTCTCGTTCCACGCTTTTACTCGAATCCGGATCCACCACGTCCATCTCCGCCATCCCGATGGTTCTCACGCCTTGCCTTGCCTTAAGCTGTGCCCTCTCCGTCGCCGGCAGCAAATTCCACCCAGTCTTCCACGCACAAGAAACCACCACCCCGCCTGTTTCGGTCATCCCATACACGTGACTAACCACAAATCCTAAGGCTTCTGTGCGGTGCAATACCGCCGCTGGTGGCGGTGCTCCTCCCGTGAAGACTCGAACGGGGCTTCTGAGAGGTTTCTTTCTTGCAGAGTTTGTTAGCATGTTGAGAACCACAGGTGCAGCGCACATGTGTGTGACACCGTGGCGTTC